AATATTCATGGATTTGGCACCAAGGAGTGGACATACAATAACTCTGCTGCAGCCCCTGGAGTCCCAGGGCCCCGGGGCAGTGGCCTGGTTTGTCCGATTGCTTTATCCAGGAAGGGTTCCTGTCCAATCACCTTTCAGCTTCGCTCTTGTTTACGAGAACCCTCGACAGGTGTGGGGTGTTGGGTATGTCCCATACCAACACATTCCCTGAAAACAAGCCTGCCAATGGCAAATCTAGAGAAATTGCTGAAGACGTCTTTGAAGAGTGATGCTTTGCTCTAAAATGCTTGATAATTACCATAAAATTGCAGAGCTGCATCACTTTTGGCAGATGCCCCATTTTACCTGAACAGCAGGAACCGTGTAATAAAACAGCAGAGAACACTGGATCCACACGCTTGCTGCGTGTCTCGAACCGCTGAGAAGAAACTGCATAAAGTATTTAAGATGACATGTTTTAAATGAGACTATTAGTTAGGCTACGGATTCCATGTGAAATGCAAATGGGATATAAAACTGAAGGTGAGTTACTAATTCATTTGTGAGAAGCACCTTGGCAATAATGTAATTCTTTCTGACGTGCTAATAACTCTTTTCACTGAGAAATCATGTTCCATGAAGGCAACACCTTTTCAACGAGCCTTCCAAATCCTGTCCCCCACATTTCATACTCCCTGTTGAGCGCCGCTGCAGTCGTGATGACATTAGCATGTTTTCGTTGTCTTAACTAGCTGGGGTCTTTTTTAACACTTCCTATTTGGCACCTTTGCCCAGAATCACATTTCTGCCTTTGTCTGGCAGCTTTTCTGTTTTGATACCTCTGAGTGTTACATCCATCCATCAAAATTCATTTTCCCACAGTAAAAGTATCCAATCAGTGAAAATCGGCCTGTGATCATCTTATGCAATCATCTTTTTCTTTATGTGTCTAATTTTATATTTCTAACTTATTTTTAAAAACTTCTAAAAGACATGCTTTCGTGAATAATGCATAGCAAATATTTCCTGGTACTCAGACACCTTGTCACAAATCTCTGATCACAGATATGTCCTGCTTTTTGCTGAGTGTCCTGTGTCTGTGGGAGAAAAGGAATATTTCGCTGACTCACAGAAGAGGAAATGGCGTGCGTTAGCTTGACAGGTTGTTCTCACATACGTGCGTCTGACGCCGGACGGGGAAATGTCCCGTGTTGGTCTCATTCTCGCAGCTCCTGTAAATGATGCTCGCTCCCCAGAGACAGCAGAGTTTAAAATAGTATCACCACAGGCAGAGGCTGCTTTAAGATTCGTTTGAAGAGTGACTGGTGGCTGTAAGTTATAATGAAGCAAAGAAAAAGACCACCACGGAGACCACCGAGAAGGAAGGTTAATTCCCAGGATGCTGCTTTGCAGTAGTTGTGATGCTCGCGGGCTCGTGTTGACAACATTCAAAACTTTTAAAAGAGACTGATTTACCCCTGTGACACGGATGGATTCACAACAGACATTTGAAGTGTTGCAGCTGATGCATCCGGATCCATTTTTCCTCTCAGTTTGTATGTATAATGGATTTAACACGGCACCAGTTTGTAGGAATCCCAGTTTTGTTTCGTGCGTTGACTTTCGATTGGTGGAGTCGTGGAATTGCAACGCAGAGGAGAGTGAACACAAGGAAAGCGGCGGGGCCAGACGGCATCACCGGCCGTCTGCTGCACTGCTGTGCTGACCAGCTAGCAGGTGTGTTCACTTACATCTTCAACGAGTCCCTGGCGAAGTCTGTGGTCCCCACATGCTTCAAAAGATCCACCATCATCCCTGTGCCCAAGAACAGCAAACCCTCATCCCTGAACGATTACCGGCCAGTTGCACTGACCTCGGTAGTAATGAAGGTGTTTGAGAGGCTGCTGAAGAACATCATCTCCTCCTCCATCCCAGACACCACAGATCCGCTGCAGTTCGCCTACAGATCCAACAGATCCACAGAGGATGCCATCGCCCACGTCCTACACACCACTCTCAGCCACGTGGACAAGAAACAGGGTAACTATGTGCGAATGCTGTTTGTTGATTACAGTTCAGCGTTTAACACAATAGTGCCCTGCAGACTGTTCACAAAGCTGAGGGATCTGGGACTTAACAGCCGTCTGTGTGCATGGGTGTTGGACTTCCTCACTGGCAGAACTCAGGTGGTGAGGGTGGGCAGGTGCTTCTCCAACAGCATCACCATCAACACAGGAGCACCTCAGGGATGTGTCCTCTCGCCACTGCTCTACTCCCTCTACACTTCAGACTGTGTGGCCACCCATGGCTCCAACACCATTGTGAAGTTTGCTGACGACACAGTGGTGTTGGGTGCCATCTCCAACAACGATGAGGCGGCCTACATGGATGAAGTGAAGAATCTGGCATCGTGGTGCCAGGACAACCACCTCCAGCTGAACGTCAGCAAGACCAAGGAGCTGGTGGTGGACTTCAGAAGGGGTCAGCACAGAGACTACAAGCCCATTATCATCAATGGAGCTCCAGTGGAGAGGGTGCAGTCCTTCAAGTATCTTGGTGTCCACATCTCCTCAGACCTGACATGGGCTGCCCACATTCAGGTCCAGACCAAAAAGGCTAGGCAGCGCCTGTATCACCTACGACAACTGAGGAAGTTCAGGGTCTCTCCAAAGATCCTCAGGATTTTCTATACAGGCGCTGTGGAGAGCATCCTCACACAGAACATGACATCGTGGTTCGGGAACAGCTGTGTGAAGGACCAAAAAGCTCTCCAGAGAGTGATCCGTACAGCAGAACGCTGCTGCAGGATTGCTCTCCCCCCGCTTCAGGACACCTACACCAGGAGATGCCGGACTAGAGCAGCGCAGATACTGAAGGACCCGTCCCATCCTGGCAACAAACTGTTCCAACTTCTGCAATCTGGTAGAAGGTTCCGCATCTTCCGGGCAAGGACAGAGAGACTCAAGAGGAGCTTCTATCCCCAAGCCATCCGTGCCCTAAACACACACACCCGCCCTCTCACATCATCTATAATTGACTGAGACAGGACTCTTCCAGACACTAAACCAAGGCACAATGTACATTTCAATTCCTTTAATTTTAAATATGTTTATATTGTCTATCCTGTAAAATAGTCAGATGTCTATTCATATTAATGTACAGAATTCACCTGCTTGCTGCTACTACTGCACATTCACCCAATGTATATACTATATATATATATATATATATATATATATATATATATATATTATATATTATATATATATATTGTATATATATATATATATATATATATATATATATATATAATGTTCTTCCTCTACACCCCCCCCCCCCAATTTTTGCACATGTCGAGGAGCGTGTCAGGCTACATTTCACTGTGTGTTATACTTGTATAACTATGCATGTGACAAATAAAGAACCTTGAACCTTGAACCTTGACACGTAACAGACACATCCAAACTCATAATGCCATTATGTGAAAGTAGTAACGTACACGGTTCGTGGCATTCGTAATCATCGTAGTCGTGATCTGCTCGTAAAATTAACCAGTTACTCAAACCCAACCAGTGGGGAAAAGAAAAGCGAAACCTGTAACTTCTAACACACGGCGAGCAGTTTTATGGTGATGACATTTTCCTCCTATTTACAAAATGAGTGATGTCGTTCGAGGCTTCGTGATTGTAATACAACCTTCTCCTTTTGGTAAATGTCACCGTCTTTCAAGTTTCATGCCCCCTGGTTCTAACACCTTACTGTCAAGAGTGATGTCTTCAAGCTGAAGCTAAGATAACCTTGGTTATTATCTTTGCAGGCATCACTTCATACCAGAAGGGATAAACTGTGTAAATGGGTTTAACACCCACAAGCACTCCGATCTTGCAGATGGTGAGACCCTAAGATTGTGTTGTAGTGCAGTGTGAGGGGGAAAGTTACATTAAAGAGTAAAATGAAAGAGAATGACTCGTGTTGTGAGCTCCAGTCCATTTTTCTGTGTGCTGGCTGTGATCAGCTGATCAGCTGGATTCAACAAGGTGAAACAAATGTTCTGTGAGATTTATGCACGACAGAAGCTGTAGAGCCAGAGTGAGTGTCAGCATCTTTACCATAAATACAAATTCAACTCTTGATGTAATCTAGTAACCGACTTATTATAGTTTGTGTTTTCAGTTTTTAGTTCACAGCCTTGGTTTTCTTCTTTCTATTTGAGTTTTTATTGCTTGACAATGTTTTTGTTTTAATCCCGTTCTTGTTTGTTTCTCTGTTTAAGTCTAATTAGTTTAATTATTATTACTGCATGCAGGCCGATGTCAGAGGCAACAATTTCAGTACAGGTGTTACAATAAAAACAACTTGTTAGAGCAGCTGAGTCTAAATGAAAATGTCCTTCAACGCCTTTTTCCAGACTAATAGATACTAAACTAAGAATATTTTTCCTCTTTAATTTAATTTTAGTTTTCCAAGTTTACAAAATCATTTAAGTTTCTTTTGCAAGACTTTTCCCAAAAACATCATGAGGATCTCTCCAACCCCCGGGCCCGGTCCCTGAATCGTTTGCTACCGGGTGGCGAGAGTTCAGGCTCTGGTTTGAAATTCGTGGTTTTCAGGGTTTTTAGCATTTTTTTATCGTTAACTCGGCTTCCTCGGGTCTTTTCCTGTGTGTTATGAATAAATCTTCTTTTTTTTTGGTTCTGGTTTTATTTATCCGCGACACCTTAAAGGCCGGTCCACGAAAATATTATCGGACAAAAACCGGTCCGTAGTCCAAAAAAAGGTTGAGCACTGCTGCTCTAAAGTGAATTAGGACGTTACATGCAAGATATAAGTTTGCAGCATAAAGACTTTCACTTGTTGAGCAGTGCCGGTCTTTGAACACGAGCTCCTCCGCTCATTCTCAGTGTTGCACTCGAATGTTTCCTGGGTGATGCAACATTTCACTCACAAACACATTTAGTGACAAACTGCAGGAAACAGTTTGTGTGTTGGGTGATATGTTAATGTTCACTCCTCTTTTGCAGCCTGATACATCAATAACCTGACCTGACCTTTATGTCTGCACCGTGCATGCATCACAGGGACGAGGAGGAAAAAGGATGAGCTGCGTCTGTAAGCAGGCTGTGGCATGTGAGTACATTCTTATTACTGAGCAACCATCCCGTCACACGACAGTAACATTAACCTGCCTATCAGATGTAATTACTCATTAACTGAAAGTTCCAGAACGCTTTAACTCCTAATCAGCAAGTGTAGTTTCTGAGTCTACTGAAGAAGTGGTGGAGGAGGAAGAAGCAGAAAGACAATCATGCCAAAACATTTCTAATATCATCAAAAAGTGCCACTCTGAGAACGACCAGCTTCATCATACAGAGTGAAGGAGACTCACACTTTTGTGTTGGGGCTTCTTCACAGCGCTGAAGCTGATTTCTTTAATCTTCAAGCACAACAAACAGCTTCTTCTTATACGCGTTTCTCTTGTGGTTTAACCAGATCTCTGACAGCAGTTGTTGTTGATATGAGATGCAAGTTGTCCTGTTGTAAAGCCTTAATGGACCAATCAGCATGCATCAGCAGAAGGTTAGTGGACACACTCACCAGACACATTAGGTATATCTTTCCAACTGCTCATTAAAACAAATATTAAATTAGCCAATCACATGGCAGCAACTCAATGCATTGTCACATATAGACATCAAGAAGATCTCCTGAAGTTCAAAGGGTGCAAAGAAAGTTGTGTAGTTGTCAGTGCCAGAGGTGCTGGTCTGAGTATTTCAGAAAGTGCTGCTCTGCTGTTATTTCTGTGCAATGGGCTGTAGAGTTCTTGAATGTACCAGCTGAGCATTGTTTAAATACCACAGCCTACCTGAGCAGTGCTGGCGACCGCGTCCATCCCTTTGTGACCACAGTGTGCCCATCTTCTGACGGATGCTTCCAACAGGAGAATGATCCATGTCATAAAGCTCAAATAACTTTGAACAGGACAGTGAGGCCTGCACAGACACCAGGTCACAATCTGTGCTGGAACAGCAACAGTCTAATCATGGATGTGCAGCTGACAAATTAGCAGCAACTGTGTGATGCTTCATGTGCTTCCATATGTCGGGACTGAACAAAACCCCACAAGATAAGCAGAATACTATGGGCTCAAATTGTGGTCATAAATATTTTGTACTTGTAAATCAGGATTTGTTTGTGTAATTTGTGTGTGTGTGTAACAAAGATGTGTGTGTGGACTTAGCCAAAAACTCTGTGAGAAAGTCTGCACTCAAGTTTCAAGTTACAACTACGAATTTTGACCCTATTTTTCTTCCTTTGATCTGATTGGCCAATGTCATGTCAATCACAAATTTAACTATCCAATCAGAGAACAGATGGGTTTGGCTGTCGGAGGGGCGCTTTTTTGAAGTCCACACACAAATCTTTTTACACATACAAATCCTGATTTACAAGTACAAAATATTTATGACCACAATTTGAGCCCATAGAATACCAGCGAATATAACGCCTGACATGAGTGTTATTGTTACTGTATGTGATGTGGACTCTTCTTTTAACAAGCCTGAAATAATCATTATTAAAGTTTAGCTCCAGCCACACATATTCTTTGAGGAACATATAATGAGCGCAGCCTTGTATACAATAAGAGGAATATGAAGTGAGACTCAGTTGTAAAAGGATATAAATGGCAAACTGTTTCTAAAATCAAAAACAATCCATTTTAAGTTAGAAAAAGCTGGAAATGGGAAAAATGTGCAGCTGCAGCCTGACGTGAGCTCACGCAGCCGTTAGCAGTGCGACTCAGAGGCTTGTCAGAATTTCCATTTCAAAAGGAAAGAACCCTGGTATTGGATTAGCATTCAGCACCTGGGGGTGGATATTGGGATCAATAAAGAAAGGAAAATATTTATTATTTATAATCTCTATTATAATATTTTGCATCATTTTGCATTTTGATGTGGACTCCTGCTCGGCTCACGCAGTTCTGCGACCTTCGTGGTGCGCAGTGCTTTGTAATCTCCGTAAAGTGAGGCAGTGCGGTCAGCAGGGACCAGCTTATGATCGCTGCTAGGCTCAAAGAACCTAGCAAACATCGGGGGAAATCGCCGGACGCTGTGTTACGCTTATCAGAGAGCAAACAAAACAGGCTCTTTTAAAAGATAAGATGTGTCTCACAATGCGTTTTTGATATTCCAAGCACATATTGAATGTGCGTGTATTATGTAGAAGTTAGAGAAAGGCAGAGCGGTTAATGCACTGTATGGACGAGGCTGCAAGAGGACACGAGATAAGGGCCACTCGAACAGGCGTGTGCGCACCAACACACACAGAGCCATCATTACCAGCCTGATTAGCTCTGCAAGCAGCGATAACCTGAGCAGGAGACGGAATATTTTCTTCCACCATCAGAGGCGTCGCAGGCAAAAAGCAAATCTGGAGATTAAGAGCAATCTTTGATAAGGATCCTGTTTCATATACAGACTATTTTAAGACTATAGTGGACATTAAATATACAAAAAGGACTATTGGTCTATAATGTAAATGATGTAACGTGATGTCTAAATGTTGTGTTTATCACTCAGACAAGATGAGATAAGACACTCGTGTGCAGAAAGTACAGGAACACCCTAATTTGTGCTGCGACGGTCTCTGTGCAGGAATGCCAGTTTGGGACAAATCCACTGTGGAATGTCAGAAAATGCGTATGTATTAGTGATGAAGTCAGTGCATCAATACATTCAATTCTGGCCCTCAAACACCGACTTTGGGGAATACAAGACACAAGCAACGGGACACCCGCTGGTTTTCAAGTATCTACAGGAATATAAATCAATGAACATTGTGCAGCTGATACACTCTACGTCTGCAGAAATATGCTGAGATCATTTAAATTAGATGGAGCAAAAGGGCAGAGGTGGACAGGAGATGATCAACTTCTTTATATATGCACTGTATCAACCTAAGATGTACAGTATTTCCATATTTGGCTTCAGCCTTCACTGGCTAATGAACCCAATAAAAGAAGCAAGAATTAATCTTGCTGGCTCAGGTTGACAGTTTCAGGTATTTTTTGTGCCACGAATGTGAAATAGAAGCACCCTCTTGGCAAAATAGTTCCTCGGTAATTTCAAGGCCATATCCATAATGTCTTTGGAAACCGCGCGACCACAGATTTGCATAAGAACTCTGCACGCCACGATAAATTTAAGAAGATAAACCTGCAACTTTTACCATCTATAGTTGTCACTGTAAACTCTTCGAGTCTTCTTTTTTTCATGCATATCATTCTCTGAATTCAACTGAACTTTGCATAAAAAGTTTTTGTGATCCATGAATCACCAAAATGACGTTTTTGGGACCCTTATGTTCCAAATTCACATATTTCTTCTTCACAAACTTTAAAAGAACATATATAATTGCACCTCAGGATTTATTTGTCAGGAAGAAAAGCTATATTTTTACTACCTCTAGGACTTTAACCACTAGTGTATAGTGCACATGCAGGAGACTGTGCTAGCCCTCGCTGGGCTGTGTTCATTAGCACCTGCACGTTGTAGCCCAGCAGGAGAACCACACGTCCTGTGAGATCTGGTCCACTGGTAGGAAGTATTTTAAGAGCTGTGTGCTCCACATACTGTCGGCCTGTTCAAACTGAGGTGATGAATTATATTTTATGAACTCGAGTTTTGTTTTTAATGTAAAAAATTGAGGTGGTCCAAACGCATCTACATTCTGAACCAGAGGAGCAAGCAGACGACCTCCAGGGCTCAAAACTGCACTGACGGCCTTATAGGTGGAGCCTCGTGTTAAAGTGTCCTTCAAGTAAACACGCTCACACGCTTACATGGTAGAAAACTGCTTTTGTATCTAATAAAAATTACTGTTAGCTGTAGGCTATGTGTTAATAGGGCTGAAGCCCCTTTGACTGACATACGGGTCTGTACACACTGTTTGTCTCTCAGTCATGGTTGTGGTCTGATGACACACTTATGTGCTGAATAACTGGCCTGGCTGTATGGTTAGTGGTACTAACAGCCTGTTCACAGAGTCTGCTCAGCTGTTTGGGCAATTGAAATTCTAATATCATTCAAGAACAAGAGTGATGTGCAGAGCTGCAGCGACTACAGGGGGACAAAGTTGATGAGCCACAGCATGAAGCTGTGGGAAAGAGTTGCTGAAGCCAGGTTAAAGAGAGAGGTGATGATCAGCGAGCAGCTGTATGGCTTCGAGCGCTACAAATGGGTTGTTTGCTTTGAGAGCGCCGACGGTGAAGTGCAGAGAAGAAGCGGTCGCACGGCGTCTTTGTGGATCCAGAGAAAGCTCGAGATCGGGTGCCAAGAGAGAAACTGGCAGAGAAGCATGTGAGGGCGGTGCAGGACATGTGGCGAGGTGTGCCGTAGGAATGGCAGACGGGTGCAAGGTGAGGGGCGAGAGGTCCTTCCTGTTTACAAGTTGGTATCGTTTTTTGTTTTTTTAAATTCATGTTAGTTTCCAGGGTTTGCTCATTTCAGTTTAGCTTTTGTTGTTTGGTAATTTTGCAGGAGGCAAGATTCAGGAATATCAGTGTAGGTGTTACAGTACGAACGCAGACCTTGTTGAAAGCAGCTGACTCACAGGCTCGTAGAGTCTCATCAAGCATGACGATCAAAATTGCTTCACTTGGTTTTTATTTGGGTCTTTTTTCTAATCTAGTTTGAGTTCGCTGCACTAACCCTGGTTTCCCCGCTGAGGCGCAGGTGAGGGTGTGGCGGCTGTGATGTTTGCAGATGACACTGTGACCTGTAGTGAGAGCAGGTGGAGGAGGTGGAGGCATGCAGCGGAGAAAGGAGGACCGAGAGTCAGTCGTAGCTGTGCTAGCAGACGACGTGTATTTCCAATATTTTATGACTCAACAACATTCATACTGACGTGAAAAAGCTACTGTGGGACATTTTCTCCTTCAGCCTGTCCCAGCTGTGCAGCAGCTACAATATCATATATAATTATACTTAATGACATTATATTGAAATAGTATTTGGATTTATTTATATAATTTTATAGTAACGTATTATAATAATCTCTGACATTTGGATTCATTCAGAATGAAAGACATCAGACTTGAATAAGTTAAAGAGTTTAATGCTGCTGTATTAAGAGTGTGCAGTGTGATAATGAAAAGAGCCCTAAAAGAGTGCTAATGGAGCTTGTTTCTAGATTTGATCAAAATATAAGCAGAAGTCGGTAATGAAAGCACAGTGGATGCTTTGAAAGGGGCAGAACAATCAGCAGCGAGGAGAATCTCCAGGGATGGACAGTATAAAGCCAAATTCAGCCTCATTTTCCCTTCTCTTTGTATTCTTTCAGATCCGTGTGGCCTCGATCTCTCTGTCTCACTCCCTGCTATGTCTCCCACTTTTCTGATAATTAATAGGTTATTAATATTTCAGCAACGCACAGACGAACACACACTTGCCGAAAGAAGAGAAGTCACATTGCGTTTGATTTCAGCGGTACAGTTTTCCAAACTGCTCTTGGATGTCTTAACTGAACTTTAAAGAAACTGAGTGTTGACTGGATGTGACTGTGCAGAGGTAGAACTGATGATTAAAGCTATAAAAGAGAATGGGAAGACAGAAATGTTTTTGCTCTCTGATAAGATTCAGTTCTATTAAGAGCTGCAAAGCATGCAAGACAGCGTCAGTCAAGTCCAATCTATCGATCTGGATGGAAAAGCAGAGCCTGATCCAGCGCATGTTTTCTGTTTTCACTTTAATGTGGATCTAAGGATCCAACGTGGACCAACTCAGTCCAAGTGGGAGTTGAGCCCCTCTCAGGAGACATAATTAGAGAGAAAATTTGTGATGATGAGAAACGCTTTAAGGCGGATTTTCAGTGCAGTGTATATGGGATTAACTGTACATTACACAGGCCTCTAATCCATAGGCACACTAAGCTAGGAATTAGCATGCATGATTAGCATTTTAAGCCAGCTATTAGATGGGAATAATACTGTAAATCAGCTAAAATGCTCGCAGTGCTTTGGCTGCTCTGTAGTCTCTGCATGAACTTCTCCAATAACCTGAAACAGCGGACATAAACAGATTCTTGGAGCAAAAATTAACAGTGTTTTTTAAATGTTTATTTATTCAGGGAGGATTTTCCAGCACGACTTACCTTTTTCCATCTGCCTCTCAGTTGCACAGTTATACATGTGAAAGTTT